GCATCATAGTCTCCATTTACATTTGTCAGGCACCTGACAGGACTTAGCTGCGAGCCATGATTGGGCAAAGTCATCATTACTTTGCCTAATCATGGCTCTTAGATTGCACTGAGCCGTGATTGGGAAAAGTCTTGCACCTGACCTGTGGTCAGGTGCATTGCTTCACCCAATCAGGGCTTCACAAGGAGCGTACAGCCCGTCGAACGTCCCTATAATTCGTGTGTTCACCGAACACACGAACTACCGATGTTCGAGTGAGACCGATGTTCGAGTGAAACATCGAGACCATCCCTACTCACTAATGCCCCATTCATATCTGTGCAGTTCGTGTGCTGTGTCAAGGCCTCATATTATGGGCATCCTGCACTAGGGCCAGAAAATGTGCCTGCACTATATTGCTCTATGCAGGGCACCACAACACACTGTAAGACCCCGTTCACATATAGCGACATACCTTTGCAGCGGCCGGGATAGCGCGACTTTCGGGGCGACGATCCAGCGACGGTAGAGCGACCTACTCCGTCGGGCTCCATAGAAAAAAAGCAAAATCCGCCGAAAAAAGGGTCCGGTAGAAGCGACTTGCGACCGCGACGAGCGACGCGCAACATGGAGTTAAGACAGCTCCATTGAATAGCAGTGGCCGGCGACTTCTCGCGATATCGCGCGGCAAAAATGCGCGATATCGCGGCGGAAATCGCGCGACAATTCGCTATATGTGAACGGGGCCTTAAATGTTACCATGCATTGTGGTGCACTACAAAGCAGGTGTGTCCCTTTAATGAATTGGTGTGGCATTCAAAATGCATGGTGTGTTGCCATGCTCATTACCACATCACATAGGTATGAAGGCAGCCTAAAACGTGCACTAAAATGCAAAGCTTTCTCTTTAGGTGACTTTTACTTTTTCAACTATACTATGGGACTGATTTATAAATCAGCGTCCTGCTTTAAAAAAAAAGAAAAAGGTCTGGGGGTCTGAAGGCAGCAGAGTGCTATTGAATGAATAAATAGAGTTAAAAAAAATGGAGGAGAGCCTGATCATGTGACCTGTCAAAGGTCACGGGGGTAATACATGCTCCACACTGTAGTTAATGTATAAATACTGTATATATAAATATGAATATATATATTTATATCTTCAGGGAAAAGGAATGTTTAGAACACAATCTTCAAACAATATCCAGACGGCCTCTGTTCTTCTAGCGTTTATTGGATCCCAAAAACAGATGAACAGAAAAGTCCAACAGAGTATATACAGAAAAGTAATAATAAAAAATAAAAAGCCCTGTGAGTCCCTTTCTATGTATATCTAGACTTCTCTCTTCATGATGATAATAATGGCACAGACACTCCATACACCCAGTATATATGTCCATCTATGTATGGAAATGTTTATTTCTAGGACTCTCCCTTCATGACTCTTCATGATGATTCTCTCTGCCACTTTTAATCACTCACTTCATATACGGTTTACTGCCAGTTGGTAACACAGAAGGGATGTCTGACTGGCTGGTTTGATGTTCCCATTTATCTTACATCAATTAAAATAATCCACTGTGTACATCCTCTATCTAGTGGCAGTTAAAGTGACATTAAGGGCAAAAGCCCCCCCCCCCCCCCCCTCCTCTCAGTGCTATTGTAAGGACTTACCTTAAATGATGCCTCTTAATCCAATCATCTTCGTCTTTCCAGAAGTTTTTAGCTGTCACTCCAGCGCTGGTGCAGGTCTCCGATCCAGCGCTGACTCCTCTGTCCTCTTCTCTGATGTCACGCGGAGTCTGTGCGGGTGTACGCTGCTCCATAGACTTACCTTGTGTCTCTCCTCGTCTCCCGGCCGAACATCTGAACTACGCATGCGCCCGCCCCAAGATCCTTTGCGGCCGCCCAAGAAAATTTCAGATGTATTGACCCTTTGAAAAAGTTTTTTTTTTTAATCGTTTTGCATATATCTACTGCTTGCTAGCAGTGGATATATGCAAAACCAAGTAAGGTTTAGTAATCCTTTAACTAAATAGGTTTCTTCTGACAAAAACTCTCTGTAGCTGTTTCCATTGTGTAGAGTCAAACAATGCTTCACCACCCCGAAAACTGTTTTATCATAGGTCCAAAATAAAGACCTAGTTAGCATAAGACTGAGGTGTGTTAAATAAAAGTAGCCAAATAATTTCCTTCAACACATAAGCATACATCCACATACACACACCCCAAATACACTGCATGGCCAAAAACAAGTTGCCACCTGGATTTAGCTAAGCAAATAGGTAAGAGGCTTCCATTGGATAATTACTGCAGTGATCAATATGTTTCATATGTTATGTCCCAAAAAAAAATAAGGTCAGCTGTGTACATGAATATACTGAATGACCAGGTTTTAACATCAATGGATTTTTTTTCTTCCTTGATGGCACATTGGGCATATTCCAAGATGACAATGCCAGGATTCATTGGTCTCAAATTGTAAAAGAGTGGTTTGGGGAACATGAGATATTTCCACACATCGATTGGCCACCACAGAGTCCAAACCTTAGCCCCATTGAGAATCTTTGGCATGTGCTGGGGAAGACTTTACACAGTGGTCTGACTAGCTCATCATCACTACAACTGAAAAATTAATGCAACTCTGGATAAAAGTAAATGTTGTAACATTGCATATGCTTATCGAAACGATACCATGGCATGCTGTAATCAAAGCTAAAGGCGGTCCAACTAAATATTAGAATGTGTGTTGTTTTGTTGTTGTCCAGGCAGTATGTATCCTGCAGACATACCTCCAATCAAACAATTGCCCCATAACTTACAGACACACCACAGCTCTTATTTTATGAATGCGATTTGCATAACCCTGCAGAGTATAACTGAGAACATATAGCGGATATCGGCTCTCTTTTACAAATTACACCCTCTGTATATCCACGAGGCCAACAGAGTATTATCCCTTTGCACTGCATAGAGAAAATAGTGGTGATTGATAAATGTAACCCTGTATCCAGTCAAAGAATATCAAAAGTGGTATAGAGAGACAGACAGACAGCGCGGGCATTGGGCAGGAGGTGCTGTTTTTCTCCAAGCACTCTGTGATGCATGAAATAGGACTTTAATTGTATTTCTTTTCTACACTATAAACATATTTTGTCCTAAAAAAAATGAAAAGACTGCAAAGTTTTTATTTCTGAAGTTTCTGAAATAACTGATTACATGCTATGAGAATACAGAAAAGACAGAATATAAAATAGGAATTTATCAGACATGTTCTCTTTTATCACCCTTCCATCAGACAGTGATATCATCAAGATCAGTGTACTTATAAAAGTTCCCATCCAGTACAATCGCAGGGACACTTTGGGAAATCGTCTGTTCTCCATCAAATGTTCTGTTTAAGTATTTATTTTATAAGCCGTTTTATTCACAAAAATAAGTGAAGTTTGCCACCTAGTGTCCAAAATAATGAACTGCTTTAAAAATCTGTCTCTAAACTATTAAACTACCAGGGTAAACTTGCACTTTGGTAATTATCACTAATTTATTATCATTTTTCAGCATGCATTGATTATTAGAGTATACATTATTGGACTGTTGGCTGGAAATAGGAAAATGAGGAACATTGAGATAAATGAGACTGCAAAGTCATCATCTGCTTGACGAGCTGTAATTTGCTATTCCTTCTAACAGTGCTTAGAGGCTACTTGCTATAGCATGACTTGGATGGATAAGGAACTTTGAAGACCGCATTAAGGAGCTTGCAATATGTTCTATGCACATAGTTACATAGTATTTGAGGTTGAATAAAGACACAAGTCTATCGAGCTCAACCTTTGCGTGTCTGTGTGTGTAGTGCGTGCAAGTGTGTTTGTGTCCCTGTGTGGTCTTAGGTTTCAGTGTACCGGTACACCTGTATGTTACAATCCCTTAGGGTGGTATCTAACTGATTTTTGAATGATTCAATATTCTCTGCTGATACCACTGCTCATGTCAGAGAGTTCCAAAATCTAACCACTCAGACTGAAAAGAATCCCCTACGCCAGGGCTCAAAATTTGGGTCTCCAAGTACCGGCTCGCGGACCAACTCCGGCCC